GCCTCCCGCTCCCCGCCGGCCCGGCCCCGCCGCGACCCCCCGCTCCCCGGCCCCCCCCGGCCATCCCCCTTGCCCCGGCCCGGCCGAGAGACGAGGCAGAAGAAACCACGCTGTGACAGGGATCCGGGGAGAGGGGGGGCTTCGTTCCCTCGGGTCTCGTTTCTTTTTTTCAATGCGGGGCAGTTTACACTGGGGAGCGAGGGTCCCGTCCGGGGCGGGGGGGGGGAGCGCTCACTTCACTTTCTGGAAGACCTGGACACACACCTCGTCTTCGGCGGTCATGCGCTGCGGAAAGCGGGAGGCGAAAGAGGGGTTTAGGCTGGGTCCCCAACTTCTCTCCCTCCCCAGCTGCCGCCACCGCAGCCCTGCCTGCCCTCCCGCTGCTGGCTGGGGTCCGACGGGCCACATGCTGCTGCCAGCCCTTCCCAACCCTCCCAAAGCCTTGCTGGGTCAGGCTGCAGGACAGGGAACCTTCCAGACCCTCCCAAAGCTTCAGTGGGTCAGGCTGCAGGGCAGGGAACCTTCCAGACCCTCCCAAAGCTTCAGCAGGTCAAGCTGCAGGGCAGGAAACCTTCCCAACCCTCCCAAAGCCTCAGTGTCTCAGGCTGCAGGGCAGGAAACCTTCCCAACCCTCCCAAAGCCTCAGTGTCTCAGGCTGCAGGACAGGCACTGGCCCGTTGCCTTTCTTGAGCTGCATTAACTTTTAAACCCTGGAGGCGGATGTTTGTGTGAAGCGGTGGCTGCCCCCGAGGAGCCGGGGCTGAAGTCTGGAGAGGAGCTGGAAGGAAGCCGCACGGCTGGCTTAGAGCCGGGAGCACCCGCACTCTGTGTGTCCCCCCCCAGCCCACCGTGACTGGGATTTAGCAAGCTGCACCAGACCCCTCCTCACCAGATGCAGCTGGTCCCCCTCCAGCCAGTGCCTCCAGCCTCGGTTCCTCTTCTCTCCTAGCTGCTCACACACCAGCTGATCCCCCTCCCAGAAGACAGTTGTCTGAAAAAAAGGAGGAGAAGGGAAGACATGGTGCCAAGACAAGCAGGTCCTGGCAATACAGGTTCCCAGCGATGACGCCGACTGTTTCTCTCAGACATGTTTTCAAATGCAGTCCCTGATCTGGGGACTCCTTGGTGGCTCCTTGGGGCTGATGCTCTTTGGGGGAGGTGAACGACCCTCTGGCTTCCAAGTGCAACGGAGTACTGCCAAGCGGGCTGACGTTCTGTCTTCTCAGGGCTTTGCTCCAGAGGATAGTACCCTCTGGGTGCCAAAGTACTGGGATTCTGGCTGTTCGGTGTTGTTGATGTTTCTCATCCCCTTTGCTGTGAGCGATTTAGTCATCGAACCACTTATTCCTCAACCTGCAGGGGCACGCCAGCTCTGGGCTGGGCTCTCATCTGGTTCGTGAATCAAAAGCTGAGCAAGTCCCTAAACTTCTAGTGCACCCGAGTCCGCTGTCAAACTGCGCTGCTTGGGCTTCTCACCTGGCACTTGCGTCCATCCACGGGTCCCAGGTCTTCCTCAAACTGGACTCCCAGGTCAAAATCCATCACGTAGTCCCGCAGGGAGGTGATCGTGCGGATGACCATGTGATCTCCCGTGTGGATGATCTCTTTATCGGGCTTCAGGAGGCAAACCAGTTTTCGCAGGACCACGTTGATATCTGGAGGACGAGAAGGAGAGGGAGAACTCTGGACGACCTGGGTCCCTTCCCTAGCAGCATCCCCGCAGAGCTCCTCCACTCTTTTGGCCGGGGAGCCCCAGCCACGACACCCCCCTCCCACCACAGCGCAAAAGTGGCGGTCGCAGACAGAAAGACCCTTCCCCGACCTGGGACACTTTTGGAGACGGAAGGGAGCAAAAAGGGGAGGAAGGAGCGGGACGAGGAGGCTGGAGTTACCTAAAGCGCGCAGGTAGGCGTCCATGTTCTCCTGGGAGACGAAGCGGTAATAGCCGGTGAGGTTGGGAGGCATCCCGGGGCACGGCACCGGCACCGACGGCGAGGAGGAGAGCGAGCGAGGACCGGGACGGGCGCGGAGCTGGGGCCGAGCCGGTCCGTCTCCCGCGGCGGGGCGAGGTCTGCGGGGCAGCCGGGCTCCGGACGCCCCGCTGCAGTAAGAGTCCCGGCGGCGGGGCGGGGGGTGCGGAAAAGGCCGGGACTGCCCCCGCTTCCAGCATCTCCGCCTCCACCGGGGGGGACGCGAGAGCGGCCGGTCACCCCCTCACCCTCCGCCCTCCCGGGGGGGCTGCTTGTCCAACGCTCTTGGCGGCCGACCAGCGGCACGGACCCCCCCCC